AAAATTTTATATTTGGGCTTTTATTCTTATTATTTCCTAGATTTTAATTTTGGGGATTTAACTTACCAAACTTTTCCTTAGTTTCTTGAGATGAATACACAGCTCATTAATTTTTCAACATTCATTTATTTATTTTTCTTTTTTTGTGTGTGTCACCCAGGCTGGAGTGCAGTGGCGCGATCTTGGCTCACTGCAACCTTCGCCTCCCGGGTTCAAGCAATTCTCTGCCTCAGCCTTCCAAGCAGACGGGATTATAGGCACCTGCCACCATACCCGGCTGATTTTTTTTTGCATTTTTAGTAGAGATGGGGTTTCACCATATTGGCCAGGCTGGTCTTGAACACCTGACCTCGTGATCCACCCGCCTCGGCTTCCCAAAGTGCTGGGATTACAGGCGTGAGCCACGGCGCCCAGCCAACATTCATTTTTTTCTAACATATGCATTTGCAGCTATATATTTTCCTCATATTCAGCTTTAGAAACATAATTTTGATGTTATTTTTCATTATCACTGTTTAAAATATTTTAAATATCTACTGCAATTTATTGAGTCACCAGTTATTTATAAATACATTGCTTAAATCCCAAACATTGGGCTATCTCTTTGTGTTTTTTTAATTTAGAAATGGGGTCTTGCTATATTGCCCAGGGTGGTCTCAAACTTCGGGGATCAAGCAATCCTCCTGCCTTGGTCTCCCAAAGTGCTGGGATTACAGGCATAAGTCACCACACTAGCTGGGGTATTTCTAATTATCTTCTTATTATTGACTTCTAGCTTAACCTACTCTGGTCAGGAAAGTTACAGTATTATTTCATTCCTTTGAAATTTATTGAGACTCCCTTTGTGGTCCAGCATATGATCAATTTGGATAAATGTCTCATATTCATTTGAAAAGCATGTATATTATGTAGTTGTAAGGTACACTGTTCTATACATATCAATCAGGTCAAGCTTGTCAATCACACTGTTCAAATACCATATAGCTTTATTGGGTTTGTCACTTGTTCTATCAGCTATTGAGAAGAGTGTTAAAAACTCTCCACTAAGATTGTGATTTATCTACTACTACTTTTAGTTATGTCAAATATATTTGAAGCCATTTTATGAAGGCATATAAATTCAGAACTGTTACATCTTACTGATGAATTGATCTTTTTATTATAAACTATTCTTCTTTATCTCTAGTAAAGCTTCTTGTTGTAAAATATATTCTTGTCATAAAGTCTACACTGAAGTTTGGAATACAGATTGATACCACTATTTCAGAAAACTGTCAGTATCTACTAAAGTTGAACATATATACATAACCTATGACCCAGAAATTTCTCTCCTAGAAATACACCCAAGAGAAATGCATTCATATGTGCACCAAAAGACACGTACAAGAATGTTTCCGGCAGCATTTTTCATAGTAGCCTCAATATGAAATCAAATGCCAATCAATAATGGAATGGATAAGTAAAATGTGTTATATTCGGGCGGGCACGGTGGCTCATGCCTGTAATCCCAGCACTCTGGGAGGCCGAGGTAGGCGGATCACCTGAGGTCAGGAGTTTGAGACTAGCCTGGCTAACATGGTGAAACCCTGTTTGTATTAAAAATACAAAAATATTAGCTGGGTGTGGTGGCGTGCGCCTGTAATCCCAGCTACTCGAGAGGCTAAGGCAGGAGAATCGCTTGAACCCGGGAGGTAGAGATTGCGGCGAGCTGAGATGGTGCCATTGTATTCCAGCTTGGGCAACAAGAGCAAAACTCTGCTTCAAAAAAAAAAAAAAAAGTGTTATATTCATACAACAGAATTTTAAACAGCAATAATAATGTGTTCACTATATTCATTATATCACCTATAACTAATGGATGAATTGTATATATTTATACTACACATTATTGCAGAATGCATTCATATTACATATGAAATACAATATTGAGTAAAAGAAGCCAAGCATCATGTCCAAGTGAGATTGACAGTAGGAAAAAAAAAGTGAAAAAAAAAGAAGCCAAGCAAAATTCAAGTATAAGTAAAATGAGTCTATGGCCATAGAAGACAAAATAATAGTTACCTTTGGGAGAAGTGGGTAGTGAGTGAACTGGACAAGACTTGGGCTTCTGTAATGCCAATAATGTTCTATTTCCTTATCAGATTTGAGGTCTGGTTAAAGGAATATGCTCACTTTTATGCAAGTCATCAGGTCATATACTTTGATTTTGTACTTTTCAGAATGTATGTTTTTTTATATATATATATATATATTTGAGACAGGGTCTTGCTCTGTTGCCCCGGCTGCAAGACAGTAGTCCAATCGCAGCTCACTGCAGCCTCAACCTCCCTAGGTTCAAGCAATCCTCCTACCTTATCCCTGAGTACCTGGGACCATAGCAGCATGTAACCATGCCTGGCTAATTTTTGTACTTTTTGTAGAGATGGGATTTCACCATCTTGTCTGGGCTTGTCTCAAACTCCTGGGCTCAAGCGATCTACCCAATGGGCCTCCCAAAGAGCTGGGATTATCATCATGCCTGGCCCAGAATGTATGTTATACTTCCTTTTTTTACCTTTTTTTTTTTTTTTTTTGAGACGGAGTCTCGCTCTTGTCGCCCAAGCTGGAGTGCAGTGGCCGGATCTCAGCTCACTGCAAGCTCCGCCTCCCGGGTTTACGCCATTCTCCTGCCTCAGCCTCCTGAGTAGCTGGGATTACAGGCACCCGCCAACTCACCCGGCTAGTTTTTTTTTGTATTTTTTAGTAGAGACTGGGTTTCACCGTGTTAGCCAGGATGGTCTCGATCTCCTGACCTCGTGATCCACCTATCTTGGCCTCCCAAAGTGCTGGGATTACAGGCTTGAGCCACCGCACCCGGCCAGTATGTTATACTTCTAAAACAACATGATATATCATGGTATCAGCAGATTCATTAAAGATTAGAATACCAAATAACCATGTGTTAGAATACAAGATTACTATTATGTTAATAAACTGTTGGTAGGAATTTAATTTGTAAAACTATACTGTAGATCAGTTCAGCATTATCTAGGAAATCTGAAGATGCAAAATGTACTGTATGGCCCAGGAATTCCTTCATACACTTATATCCTAGAAAGGTATGCATGTATATATACTGGTATATGTGTAAAAACATTTTCACAGCAGCCCTGCCATACAGGAAATAACCAATGTCTGAACTGCAGCTATGTATAACAGCGAGGGTGAGGCTAACAAACATAATATTTTATTTTATTTTTTTATTTTTATTTTTTAAGTCAGAGTTTTGCTCTTGTTGCCCAAGCTGGAGTGCAATGGTACAATCTCGGCTCACTGCAACCTCCGCCTCCTAGGTTCAAGTAATTCTCCTGCCTCACCCTCCCGAGTAGCTGGGATTACAGGTGTGTGCCACCATGACTGGCTAATTTTTTTGTATTTTTAGTGGAGACGGGGTTTCTGCGTGTTGGTCAGACTGGTCCCGAACTCCTAACCTCAGGTGATCTGCCCACCTCGGCCTCCCAAAGTGCTGGGATTACAAGCGTGAACCACTGCACCTGGCCCAAATATAATATTTTACAAGAAAGCCAAGACTCAAAACAACATCATACAGTACAATTTCATTTATATAGTGTTAAAAAGGTAAAACTAAACTATATTGTTTAGAGATAAGCAGATATGTGGTAAAAACAAAACAAAACTTTTTTTAAAAAGTCAAGAATAACGATTACCAACATCAGGATAAGTGTTACCTAAAGAGGGAGGCAGGGTAAGTTTATTCTGGTGGAAGGACTGGAGGGCCCTTCTGGAGTGCTGAAGCAAGTTTTTGAACAGAGGGTCTCTTTATAATTACTTCTTAAACTACACGTCTATATTTTAACTAGTTTTCTGTATGATGTAATATAAAGGGATTAAACAAAGAAAACCAAATATAGGCCAGGAGCAGTGGTTCACACCTGTAAACCCAGCACTTTGGGAGGTCTCACTTGAGTTCAGGAGTTCAAGAACAGCCTGGCCAACATGGTGAAACCCCGTTTCTACAAAAATATAAAAATTAGGCCGGGCGCGGTGGCTCAAGCCTGTAATCCCAGCACTTTGGGAGGCCGAGACGGGCGGATCACGAGGTCAGGAGATCGAGGCCATCCTGACTAACACGGTGAAACCCCGTCTCCACTAAAAAATACAAAAAACTAGCCGGGCGAGGTGACAGGCGTCTGTAATCCCAGCTACTCGGGAGGCTGAGGCGGGAGAATGGCGTAAACCCAGGAGGCGGAGCTTGCAGTGAGCTGAGATCCGGCCACTGCACTCCAGCCTGGGCGACAGAACGAGACTTCGTCTCAAAAAAAAAAAATATATATATATATATATAAAAATTAGCCAGGCATGATGGCATGTGCCTGTAATCACAGCTATTCAGGAGGCTGAGGTGGGAGAATCACTTGAACTCGGGAGGCAGGGGTTGCAGTGAGCTGAGATCTAGCTATTGCACCCCAGCTTTGGCAACAAAGCAAGACTCCGTCTCAAGCCAAAAAAAATAAAAAAGAAAAGAAAACCAAATATAAGAACCATACATAATTTTTAGTGAAAATACAAGATATGAAACGGTAATGTCATAAGATTCCAATCTTGAAAGTAATGTATGTGTGCATAGGAAACTCACTAGAAGGAAATAAACCAAAATATTACTGGGTTATTTCTGGATAGTAGATTTACTTTTGCTATTTGTAACCCCCTATTTTCCAAATTCTTTGGAATTGTGTGGGTGTGTGTGAGACAGAGGAGGGGGCAGTGTGTGTGTGTTTAAAAAAAACAGAACTTTAGCACACTGGGAAAAGTGTTCTATTTTCTAAATTAATAAGTGAACATTTTGTAGAAAGAAGTAACAGACTACTGGGCTCTCTGCGTCCACCCCAAGGCTTCTCATCATTTTCTTGAATAGAAACTTACAAGAACCAGGTCACTTGCTGACTCTATGTTAACCACAACTATCCAGAGAAGAGAAGCAAAAAGGAAACCCAATGCACCTTGTATTTGGTTTGGTCAACAGTCATTCTTCCTCTGGGTAACTCTCTGAGAACAGCAGAGCTGAAGAAGAAAGGAATCATGAGATGCCAGGCCTTTCTTGTGGCTCAGACTGAGCAGATCAGAGGTCATTCTGGATCTACAGCTACTATCTATGAAGAGAAGAAGCGATGGGGGAGGTCAGAGAAGTGTAGGCGGCCCGGCACGGTGGCTCAAGCCTGTAATCTCAGCACTTTGGGAGGTTGAGGCAGGCGGATCACCTGAGGTGGGGAGTTCGAGACCAGCCTGACCAACACAGAGAAAACCCGTCTCTACTAAAAACACAAAATTAGCAGGGGGTGGTGATGCATGCCTGTAATCCCAGCTACTCGGGAGCCTGAGGCAGGAGAATTGCTTGAACCAGGGAGATGGAGGTTGCGGTGAGCCGAGATTGCACCATTGCACTACAGCCTGGGCAACAACAGCGAAACTCCATCTTAAAACAAAACAAAACCAGAGAAGTGTAGGATGTCCTGGGCATTCTCGGTATCAGAGGGGTGATGTCTCTCCTCTCCATGAGAATCTGTCCTGACCTCACAGGGAGAGCTGGAGTCACAAAGACAGTCACAAGCACCGCATACCCAATGCTGCAGCCACCTAGCCACCATGGGGACCCACGTACACCTCCACAGGCACACCTCACCCAAACAGTAACACTATATATGGTCACACAATCATTGTCCCACACCTACGTTGAGGATACACAGTCACACTCGCATGTTTACAGACCCCTCAAACACAGCACCATTCAAAACTAGAGTGCTACAGATAGTCACAATATCACACTCACTACTGAGCCACACAAAGTTACAGTTCCCCCCTCCCCAGGACCCCTACTGAGCACTACACACAATCACACATTCAAAATAACACAATGACCATTAGGACGCACATATCGTCACCCCGGCACAATTACACGCACTTTCCAACCGCAGACACAGTGCCACATAAAGTTACATGGTCACACTCTCACATTCTCACGTTGTCACTCAGTAAGGCATCCAGTACACTTAAGCGCTGCTAACAGTCATACAAACACAATTACACACGCACCCCTCAGAGTAACACACAGTCACAGCCTCATCATCAGATTCTCTCCACACAAACACCCTCCATAATGTCACGCAAAGTTACACAGACACACACAATCACAGTCCCAACATGGGACACAGTCATACCTACACACACAGCCTTACATTGTTACAATCACACAACCACAACGAGTATATAAAATCACACCCGCGCACACAGCAAGGCACAGTTACATAAGGTAACACTCACACACGTAAGTCCACGCCTCGCGCCCGCCTCCCCCCTACCCCCTCCATCAGCCCGACCAACTCATACATGCCCGACACTCCAAACCAGCCTGGTTAGTCCCTTCAAACTCCCAAGCACGCACCTGCGGGCCCCAGCCGAGCCCGCAAGACCCAGGCCGCTCAACGCGCACTTCCCCTACCCTTGAGGCCGAGGGTCCAGCAGGCAAATGAAACGGCTGCCTTGGACTCGCGGGGACCTCTGGGAAATACAGTCCGGAGTAGGACCGCGCAGAGAAGATGGCGCCCGGTCCTTCGGGTTCCTACTGCTGCACAGTTCCGGGACATCCCTGCTCCCCACTCCGAACGGCTACTCTGCGTCTCCGTGATCCAGACACAGGCTCAGAGTGAAACTGCCATAGGACGCTGGCCCTGCACCCTGAAGACAATCTTCCTCCATGGTACCGGCCAACCCCAGAGAGTTCCTTGAGAAACAGAAAAAGGTTGCCAGCTTCGGGCCAGAAGTTGGTTAGAGCCGCAAGGATTTCTGGGAACTGTAGTCTAGAGCCGGAAGGGGTGAGGCGCTGCGGCAAGTGGAAGGAGGTCCCTTAAATGACTTTCTGCCCCAAGCCGACCCACAATGCAGAGCGCACCCAGGATCCACTCTACTAGGCGTTATAACCCTCACTGAGAATGCTAGACTGTTTAAATCGTCATTTTTGCCTTCGTCCGTGGATGAGCCACATACTGTATGATTGCATTTATATGAAATATTTAAAATAGGCAAATCTACGGAAAAGGAGTAAGAGTTTTTTAGGACTAGCAGGATTAGGGGAACTGTGAGTGGTAATAGCTAAAGGGTTCCTTTTTGGGGTAATGCAAAGCTTCTTGAATTAGATAATGATGTTTGCACAACTCAATACTCTAAGAATGACTGAATGGTACACCATAAACGAGCTAATGATATGATTTGTAAATTATATTTGTGTGCATGTCTTTTAAAAATCAACTTTACTGAAGCATAATTTAGATACAATAAAATGCCCTCATTTTAAGTGAAACGTTTGATAAGTTTCAACAAATGTTTAAATCCTTGTCACCACCATCATAATCAGGATATAGAACATTTTTAAAAATTAAAAAAATTTTAAGCTTTTTAGTTAAATTTCTGTGGGTATATAGTAGGTGTATATATTTATGGGGTACATGAGATTTTTGATTGTTTTGATACAGGCATGCAATGCGTACGAATCATATCATGTAAAATGGGGTGTCTATCCCCTCAAGCATTTATCCTTTGTGTTACTGGATATATAATTTTTAAATTTTTTTTTATTTTTTGAGTTGGAGTCTAGCTTTGTCACCGAGGCTAGAGTGCAGTGGCGCGATCTCGGCTCACTGCAAGCTCAGCCTCCCAGGTTCAAGTGATTCTCCTGCCTCGGCCTTCGGAGTAGCTGGTGTTACAGGCGCCCGCCACCATGCCCGGCTAATTTTTGTGTTTTTAGTAGAGACAGGGTTTCACTGTGTTGGCCAGGCTGGTATAGAACTCCCGACCTCGAACTTCTGACCTCGTGATCCGCCCGCTTTGGCCTCCCAAAGTGCTGGGATTACAAGCGTGAGACACCGCGCCCAGTGCATACAGAATATTTTTATTCACTGCCCTCCGTCCCCCAGATTGTTAAGTCGATTCCCACCTCCCCATCCCTGTATCAGGCATCTATTGACTATTCTAAGGAATGAGCAGTAGTATCAAATTATGTTTTTAATTTGCATTTCCTGATGTCAGTGAACTTAGCATACTTTCATATACTTATTTGCCATTCTTTTATCTTCTTTTGTGACATCTATTGAAAATATTCGGCCGGGCACAGTGGCTCAGGCCTGTAATCCCAGCACTTTGGGAGGCTGAGGCGGGCAGATCACCTGAGTTCGGGAGTTCAAGACCAGCCTGATCAACCTAGAGAAACACTGTCTCTACTAAAAATAGAAAATTGGCCGGGTGTGGCGGTGCATGCCTGTAATCCCTGCAGGAGAATCACTTGAACAGGGGAGGCAGAGGTTGCTGTGAGCTGAGATCACACTGTTGCACTTCAGCCACAGCAACAAGAGCAAAACTCCATCTCAAAAAATAATAATAATATTATTATTATTTTAAAATTGGTTGTCTTATTATTGAGTTGTAACAATTCTTTATATGTTTGGGTAAAAGTCATTTGCCAAATATATATATTGCAAATTGCAAATATTCTCTCCCTGCCTGGGGCTTACCTTCTCAGTTTTGGGGTTTTTTTTTTCTTTTTTTTTTTTGAGACAGGGTGTTGCTCTGTTGCCTAGTCTGGAGTGCAGTGGCATGAACACAGCTTACCACAGCCTTGACCTCCTGGGCTTAGTCGATCCTCCTGAGTAGCTGGGACTGCAGGTGTGCACCACCACGCCCAACTAACTTTCTTGTGTTTTGTGGAGATGAGGGTCTCGCTATGTTATTATAGGTGTGAGCCACTGTGCCCAACCCTCAGTTTCTTCATGATGTCTTTCAAAAAGCAGTTTTTACTTTTGATGAAATCCAATTTCTCACCTTTAAAATGTGCTTCATGCTTTCTGGTCTTTCTAAGAATCTTTGTCTCCCCTAGTGTTGTAAAGAATTTCTCCTAAGTTTTATTCTAAAGGTTGTATAGTTTTAGTTTTTATTTTTGGTCCATCAGCCACGTGAAGTTAGTTTTTGTGTATATGAGGTAATGTTCAAAGTTATTATTTTCCAGAGGAAAATTCAGTGGTTCTAACATCACATGTTAACAAAACTATCATTTTCCTCTTGAATGACCTCAACATCTAAAGTAGGCAGGATAATGCTCCCCCCAAAATACCCACATGCCAGTTCCTGGGACTTGTGAATGTACTATGTTACATGGCAAGGGGAACTAAATTAACAGGTAGAATTAAAGTTGCTACTCAGCTGACCTTAACATAGGGGGATTATACTGGATTGTCCAGTTAGACCCAGTGTAATCACATGGGGTCTGAAATGAGGAAGAAGGCATAAAAGTCAGTGTAGGAATTGTGTGCTGTGAGAAAGACACGACCAGCCATTATTGGGTGTAAAGATGAAAGGAGCCCATGAGCTGAAGAATGCAGGCAGCTTCTCCAACTTGGAAAAATGAAAAAAGCAGATTCTCCAGAGCCTCCTTTATTTGAGTCGGGGTCTCCCTCTGTTGCCCAAGTTGGAGTGCAGTGGTGTGATCTTGGCTCACTGCAACCCCTGCCTCCTGGGTTCAAGTGATTCTCCTGCCTCAGCCTCCCTAGTAGCTGAGATTACAGGCAACCACCACCACACTTGGCTAATTTTTTTTTTTTTTTTTTAAAGTAGAGACAGGGTTTCACCATGTTGGCCAGGCTGGTCTTGAACTCCTGACCTCAAGTGATCTGCCTGCCTTGGCCTCGCAAAGTGCTGGAATTACAGATGTGAGCCACCGCACCCAGCCTGTTTTTTTTTTTTTTTTTAAGAGACAAGGTCTTGCTCTGTCACCCAGGCTGGAATGCAGAGGTATGATCATGGCTCACTGCAGCGTCAAACTCCCAGACTTAAGCATCCTTCCGCTTAGGCCTTCTGAGTAGCTGGGACTATCGGTGTGCACTACTACACCTGGCTAATTGGAAAAAAAAAATTATAGAGAGGGGGTTTAGCTATGTTGCCCAGTCTACTGAAACTCCTGGCCTCAAGTAATCCTCCCACTGTGGCCTCCCAAAGTGCTGGGATTACAGGCATGAGCCACCACAACAGCTGTGTCATCCCAACCCCTCTCTGGGCCTGATCATGTAAAGAGGGCTTGCATTCCTCAGATAAAAAGTTTCTTTTCTTTTTCAACACTATGTGAAGTGAGATAAGCCAGACCAAAAGGACAAATATTTTATGAATCCAGTTATATGAGGTGCCTAGAATAGGTGTATTCATAGAGACAGAAAGTGGAATTGAAGTTATGTATGTATAACCTCATGAGGTTATATGAGGTACATGATAAAGCCTCTATACTTAAAACAGTGTACTATTTGTGCGTGGTCAGAGAGACAGACCAAGGGAGGAGGATGGGAAATATAGAAGTAAACATCCACAGCCAGGCGCGGTGGCTCACGCCTGTAATCCCAGCACTTTGGTAGGCCGAGATGGGTGGATCACCTGAGGTCAGGAATTCAAGACCAACCTGGCCAACATGATGAAACCCCGTCTCTACTAAAAATACAAAAAATTCGTTGGGCATGGTGGCACGCGCCTGTCATCCCAGCTACTCAGGAGGCTGAGGCAGGAGAATCGCTTGAACCTGGGAGGCAGAGGTTGCAGTGAGCCAAGATCGAACCACTGCACTCCAGCCTGGAGCAAAACTCCGTCAAAGAAAGAGAGAGAGAGAGAGGGAGGGAGGGAGGGAGGAAGGTCCACATAGATGCTTAGTATTTGATAACGGTAGCAGCTCAAATCACCACAGTCACATCATAAAGTTTTATGCAGCCGGTACACACATAGCAGAAAAAAAAAAAATGTCATCTCTACAGAATGACATTAATTCTAGAATGTATAAAAAAATGGAAAGTATAGAACAGTATAACATATAGTTTGTCTAAAAAAAGAAAAGGAAATCAGATTAGATATAAGCATTTGTTTATATGCACTAAAAAAAGAAAAAGGAAAAAAGAAGTATTGGAAACGTGAACCGGAAACAATACCTATAGTGGTAACCTATAGTGATTGGGGTGGCGGGGGGAGTGAGACTTGATATGTCTTTTTATACAGTTGCATAGGAAAAACAAACTGGTTTTTAAAAATATACTCTCACAACACTCAATACTTCCAGAATGTTTCATTTCTAACACAAAATATGTGGAGTTTTTCTGACACCCCTTCTCCAACCCTCCCTGCCTGGGTGTCCTACAATTGAATTCAAGTCTGACACTAACCTGAGTCAGCACAGACCTTACAGGTTAATTGCTCAGTCCCACAAGACTGTTCATCTTTTCAGATGCCAATGACAACTACTAAGTCACCTGATTACCAACAACTGTCCAGTTTGCCTGAAAATTAGAGGTTCCCATCATCCCCTTCTTGGATTTGATTCTACCAAACTTTTCAGGGAGAACAAATTCCAATATTTCTCAAACGAATCCAAAAAAATTGAAGGGGAAGGAATTTTTCCAAACTGATTCTGTGAGGCCAGCACCACCCTCATACTAAAACCAGACAAGGACAGAAGAAAGAGAAATCTACAAGCCAAGATCTCTGATAAACACAGATGCAAAAATCCTCAACAAAATACTAGCAAACCAAATCTGATAGCACGTCAAAAAGATTATATACATGATGATCAAGTGGCATTTATCCCAGGGAAGCAAAGATGGTTTAACATATGCAAATTAATACATGCAATACATCACGTTAACAGAATGAAGGACAAAAATCATATGGTCATCTCAATAGAAACAGAAAAAGAATTTGACAAAATTCAACATCTCTTTGCAATTAAAAAAAAAAAAACTCCTTGGCCAGGCACGGTGGCTCATGCCTATAATCCCAGCTCTTTGGAGTCTCCCTCTGTCACCAGGCTGGAGTGCTGTGGCTCGATCTCAGCTCCCTGCAACTTCCACCTCCCAGGTTCAAGTGATTCTACTGCCTCAGCCTCCAAAGTAGCTGGGACTACAGGCATGTGCCACCACACCCAGCTAATTTTTGTATTTTCAGTAGAGACAGGGTTTCACCATGTTGGCTAGGTTGGTCTCGATCTCCCCACTGAGATGATCCACCTGCCTCGGCCTCCCAAAACGTTGGGATTACAGGCGTGAACCACGCGTCCGACCAAGACTATTATTATTTTTATTGTTGCTGCCTGCTGTAGCCATGCTTGAGGTAGCTAGGGTGGATGCTGATGGAGATTAAGGGGATTAAAATATCTATACCTCCCAAAGCCTCCTACCAGCCATTTCAAAGGGGATGCTTAGACTTCTAACCCCTCTTCTATGGTATCTCCTAGGAGAGGATTGTACTAACCCAACTTCTAACCTATTTCCTAATGTGTTTTCAACTATTAAAAATTGTACCTCCCTTCCTGCAGGATACTATCTATTGTGACATAACTCCCTCTTGCCTAGTGGTTT